TATATATATATTAAAATGACAACATCCTGCGCATTACATATGTCTATGTCAAGCCTCATCACTGCAGTGCTGAGTTTAAAAGGATTTGATAATTTGCCTTTAACATCAGACAGAATCAGCTATTATAAATTATTTATCCTTACTGTCAAGATGAGACAATAAAGCAAAGGACAGAGGCTATCCTTGCCTTGTAAAATGACGTAATTATGATATGTGCCTTCTCTTCTAATAATCTTATCTAAGACATGATTTTTACCTCAAATCCAAATTTTCCAAAAAAATAAACAAATACCACCACACTCTGTCAAATGCTTTCTTTGTATCCATTAAAGCCCCATTAGAGCAGTTTTGGAGGGAAAGTAAACCACATTAAAAATGTTCTGGAGATTTAAAAAAGAGTGATGTTTGTGAAAAAACTCAGTTTGATCAAAACATAAAGTTGGGGGTAAAACTGCAGCTCCTGGATAGTGACGTTGCTGGAAGTTAGTTAATATTCAGCAGGCTGATGGGATGAAATGAGCCAGATAAAAATGGGGCCCTTTTAGAAAAGCAACATTAAACACCTGGTTCAGGGTTCAGGGTGTGGGTTTGAGCCTATCAAAAGACTCAGTGAAGTCTTTCCACTCAGTAGTGGATCTGTTAGATCTGTAATTGTGACTATAGTTAAAATTTGTTTTAAGATATCTGCATTACAGATATCGTGAACATTTTTTTCATCTAGATGGCTTTTCTATAACTAACATTTTGACCAGTCAGAATTATATTAAAGCTATTGTGTATTTATATTATTATTATTTATGTAAATTGTACTGCCTATAGGCTCACAATACCTTCAATCATGATCCAAAACAACCAGCTTTGAAGCTCCATTAAGTTTTTAAAACTTCTGATGAGAAGTCTTTTATTTTGACGAGAAGACCGAAACTGATTTGACTCTCTCCTTCAGACAGAAGCAGAACTCCGGTACACAAGTCAAAACATTCAGCTATTTCCTAGAGGTATCTTGACTGTCAGGTTGAGCATTAGGAAGATTCATTCACACTGAAAAAATAACTTGTAAGATGTACTTGAAAAAAATCCTCTAACAAATTTGCACTAACGTTTGTTAAGTAACTTTAAATGCTACAAATTCATGTAAAATTTACTCATCATTATCTAGTAAAAGTTAAGAATTTAGTTAAAGATTTTTAAAATAAATCAGGTAATTTTTACTTAATTTGCTCAATTAAATCTTATAACATATAATGATCAAATCAAATAAATTTTACCTGATTTACTCACAAACCTTTAATTATTTTTAATAACTTTTACTAGATAATAAGTAAATATTACTTGAATTTGTAGCATTTAAATTTACTTAACAAACATTAGTGCAAATTGTTACAAGGATTTTTTCCAGTAAATCTTACAATTTCTTTTTAACAGTGCACATGTGTCAAGCACAATATTGTAGCATGACACCTCACAGCTACAGAGAAAACTGTAGCTCTTGTTGTAGTTCAAGACTTCACCACCAGGTGGCAGTTTCAAAGAACCCTTATTGGATTCTTCTTCATGAACAACACAGAAAGAGAAACTCACAGGTCTTATTAATGACTAGGCCTACCACTCTCACTRATGGTTACTTCTGCTGAACGGTTTAACACAAGTTAACAAATAATGAACACATAAATTAGAGTAACACAACAGACTAATTGCTGAAAGAACAATAGGCCTCATGCAAGAACATGTTCGTATTCTTCTCCTAAATTTCTCTTACTTTTGTTCGTACAAAGGGTTCGTACGAACATGCCACGTCAGATTCAACAAACACATCTATCTTCAGGAAACGTGCGTAAATGAGCTGCGTAAATT